GGGGGGGGCTGTGGGGTGTTGATGGGGTTATTTGGGGTTCTGCACCTTTTTTTTTTTGGTGGGGTGCCGACCTGCCCCCGACCGGTAGGTGCCGACCAGTCCGACGGTCGGCTGGTCGGCCCGCGACCAATCCAGGGGCATCGACTGTTGGCATGACTACTCTGCAGAGAGGTAAATATAAACAAGATACCAAAAACACACAAAAAAGCTTTGAATATAAATACAAATATAGGATTTAGTGCGACCTGTTGATTAGCTTTATCCAGAGCAGTTCATGGCGGAATCAAGGACTTTGCCTTCTGGCAGGCTCCTTTGAAATGCCAGCTTACCAGGAATTGTCATCATGAATCGCGCCTGGAAACCGGACAAGGTTCACAATAAATAACTGCCCGAAAAGTTGCTGACAATGCAAATAGCATTGCAAGAAGCCCTGCCTTAAAGACTGTGAAAATGTAGAGGACTGGAATTGTTGCTCTACTCTTGCACACGTTATTAACTGCTTGCCACCTACCTAAAGTATAATCGTGTGGGGGAGGACCCTTGCCTCCCACCTACCCCCCACACCTTGCCTTCCACCTACCGTTTTCCCTCAGACACCCTGGTCATGACTGTTATCGGACTGGAAAGATAGCTTGTATACATTAATGATCAGGGTGCATTGTGTTTGGGGGAAGACAGTCGTCATGGAGACCGTTGGGAAGCCTTCCGTCCGTCCACATATACGCAGAGTGGCACATGTCGTGGGGGCTGGTAACCCCCCTGTTTCCTAAAAGGGCCTCCACAGCCCCTTACTTAGGGGGAGCCTGTCATGAGTCACCTGCTAAAAAAAGAAAGGCTTCAAAGTCTAAGTACTATTCCTAAGGGTATATCCACACACTAGCACTTTCTGGACTGATTCTGGCCATAATCGGGCCCCGATTCGTCGAGGGAAGCCCGAGTGTCAGTATGCTTTTAACGTTGCTCGCAAGTCCTATTTCGCTCACCTGCAGCTTAGATGATCCTGATCCAGCCAACAGTGCATTGGCATAGTGTATGAGAATGCTTCATGTACACACTGCTGCAACTTTCAGAGGAAAGTCCTGACACTGATGGTTTAAGAGGCCAAGCTAGAAAGACCGTTCAGCGAGAAAACGCATGTGGACACATTGGTGAAACCTAAACTACGAGACTCTCATTCGTCACTTAGCCAACTTCAGTGACGCGTATCCTGAACCCGAATTCCAAAACCCTAGCTCCAAAACCCAAGTCCTAAGCTTGATCCCTAAGCTCCAAAACCCTAACTCCTAAAGCTTGATACCTAAACTATGTATAACCTGGCCTCTTCGTGCCAGAGTGTCTCCTAAATACTGCCACCTAGAACCTAAACCCTAACTTATAAAACCCTAACTTATAAAACCCTAACTCATCACTCGTAAACCCTAGCTCATCACTCGTAAACCCTAACTCATCACTCGTAAACCTTAAATCTTAATTAAGGGTTCGAACTTCAAAGATGTGTGCGCATGTGTTTGTCACTGAAAGCTTTTTCTGGTTTAGCCTCGTACACCATCAGTACAGGACTTCCCTCGGCACGTTGCAGGCCAAACTTTGCATGTACCTGCTTGCTTGTGGCCGTTCTGATACATACTTGCGGGGGAAATTTTATGCAGGAGAAAATCGGCTGTCTGGCACCAGTGGTTTGTAGCATTATTTTATAGTATGTCAATGCACTGCTTGCTGGATCATCACCATCTAAGCTGGGAGTGAGTGAAATTGGACTCCTATGATGATGATGTATTGGACTCGTAAATTCTCATATCTAAATCCTAAACCCTAATTCCTAAACCGCACCTCGAAGGGCTGAACTGAAGAAGACATGTATGCCCCAGCCCCTCAGTAGTGATTCTCGCAATGATTCACTGGACGCTTCTCCTGAACCCTACCTACTCGGTCTTCGGCCGCCTGCTGCCGAGCCCACTCATGCAAAGCATTCTCCATTCCGTGCAAAGCAATGTTAGGCCAGTAAAGGCGATACAACTTGAGGCTTGCCAGAGTTATATATAGTTATAGGCGGCCGAAGGCCGAAACCAGTCATAATGTCTGCTTGAAACCAGGCCTTAATCTGATAACCCTAGTACAACATACGGTCATTATAGCTGTTTTGGGGTCATCTTTCAGTCTATATACAACAATAATGACTGTACATTGTGTTCGGGTGAAGAAGGTTGCTCCTAAACCCTAATGATGTGACTCTCTCTCCTGAACTTTTTTAACTCCCCCTGAGCCTTCACTGCTGAACCCTAACTCTTAGGGCCTGACTGCTAACCCTAAGTCCTGAACCCCAACTCCTAAAGCTTGAACATGCATACCGCAGCCAACGGATGGGACTTTGCGCTATCAGGTCGTTGGTATCCCTATGGAGACTAACGCAAGACCAGAAATTGCCAATATTTCGCTCTATTGGGACGAGCAAACAGTTCGCCGATGAACTTTGTCATCGGGATCTGCGCGCAGCTCAAGAGTATGCATTCACGTAGCGGTTTATTGATGACGTCCTATTGTGGAATAATTCTCTGCCCCCCTCCTGCTGCTCATTATGGTCTCGAGTGGAAAAACGCTACTGAGCAAGATGGGTCATGTCTCTTCCTCGGGGCAAGAATCTTGGTTTTTGGTCAAACGGCTCACTTTGCACGGGCATATTTGATCAGGATGAGGCTTGGACATTACCTGTCATACGCTATCCTGGTGCTTCTTCCAATGGCCCTGTTCGTCAGCTCGCAGGTGTGCTCACGGGACAGCTTGACGAGATTCAAGCATATCTATAGCAATTCTACTGACTTCAGAACTGCAGCAACTTCCTTGATACGGTGTATGCCTGTTGGGGACCAGGATAGACTGCTTATGTGCGTGGCCGACAGCATCGGCTACCCACTCATGTCACCCGAACTGGGTTTCACCGTACAGTGCATTGGTCACTTGCCCACCCATTGCTCAATGCTAACTCCGAGCACAGGCAGCAGCTGCCCTCTACACAGCCAAATGCAGTGGGGCCACCCTCCTCACCGGTTATTACCGCAACTGCTAATGTGGATGCCGCAATCCCTCTGGAAACTTGGCCGGCCGTAACAGACAACATAAATGTTGTTGACGTGGCTGCAGGGGATGATAGCCTGCACGCTACCATCGTGGCGGCAGCTGCTGAAACTGTGGCCCTGCAGATTGAAGCGAGCGACTGCATCCCAGGTTCCTCACAGGAAAGAGATTGGGCGAATCATTTGATGCCCGCAGTCTCCACTGATTCTCCCCTGCTGATTTCCTGCCACCACCATCACCACTACCATCACAGCCTGCCATCTGCATTTTCTACTCCATCATCGTCTCCTGTCTACTGCCTCCTCTTCTTTTTCCTCCTCTCCTCCCACCTCTCCGCCGTCGTCCTCATCATGAACACATTCATGGTCAGATCAGCCATCACGGATGCCTCTTCAGTGGAGACATTCCCCATCACCACCGCCACCTTCCAGACAGCAGCCATGTATGTGCTTAAATAGCATGATTATCGCAGCCCCGTCGGGAGTCGAAGATCGACTCCGCCGCTGTGCTTGCAACCGAATGGAACAATGCTGTTGCTCCCAATACACGTGAGCCAGGAAGGGTGCATACAGAGTCCACAATGTGGCTATATGATTTTTACAGTGCTGCAGGCCTGTGCGTGGATCAGACATAGGGTGCACCCCCACCTGGGCGGCAGTTGCATGACTAGCAGCCACTTGGAGTGCAAGTGCGGCTGATCACCTTCCGCTTCTTGCATCTGAACCCCCCATTTCTAATATACCTCGCCCTGATTGCTCGCCCACTCCAGATGACGATGATCCACCGTCTGATCATTTGATGGAACCCCCGACTGGGCATAATCTGTCTACAGACCAGACCCAATGGAGCTATCAGAACCAGAGGTATCATGCAGGGACTTTCAAGACCAGAATGAGCCTCCCTGTACTGTGCAATCTGCAAGATCAAATGATCTCACCTTGCTACAGAAAGGCCACTGTGCGTACTATGCCATTAATGTGTGTGTCTTCGCTTACACTGCAAACCCTATACTGTTTCTGATTTCGCAGGAGGTACCCACTGGATAGCAGCAGCACACCGTGTTGTTTGGCCAGAGGATGCCTGTAAGGCGGCTGGTGTGAACATGGAAGTGCTGTCTATGGCGTTTACGGGAAGACGGGGGGTTGTTGTAGTGACAGTTTACAACACACATACCTGCAAAAGTAAAAAAAAAAAGAAAAAAAAAGAATGCACGTGCCTTACTAATCGGTGCACAGCAGTGCACTGCCGTAAGTATGATTTGAATACAACGTAGATAAGTTGTGTTTCAGTGTACGCTCTGTTTGGAACCAAACAACAATTGGTGGAAACGTGTTGCTCAGAGGTAAATTGAACATAGAACGTATGTACGTTTTCTTCGGGCTAAGAAGGTGGTAGAATTTTCAGGTCTTTTCTGTTGCATCTACTATCTGGTCAATTTTGAGGTCAGATACAGATGTTATGAACTTCTATCTGCGAGAAAGCCAGTAGGGGTATCTCTGTCCCCCTTTGGGAGCGCGGGTGCTTTGGATGATGTACCCCTTCTCAGGGGGATGGCGGGTGCCTTGGGTGATGTACTTGTTCTCAGGGATGACTGACCAACTGACTACAGCAAAATTTCCGGAACCGTTGGAACGTAATCACTGGAACTTTCTTGGTATTTCCATTTACTGAGCTTTACTCTTGATTTGTACTTGCGGACATGCTCCGGTCTGTCTATGTCTCCTGCGCATGTTTCTGTCATTGTGGTGGCCAGGCACAGGGAAAACGCTCAGTTTAATTTGCAGCTCGCTTCAGTGGCTGTGTGATCAGCATGAAAGCACACTGTCGTTGTCAGCGACCAGTGACAGAGATGCTGCCCGAGGGATCTCATCTGCTGGAGGTGTCGTGGACGCTGCGACGCCTTCTATTGATGAGGAGCCTGACTGGATGCGAGACTTTGGCGAAAAGCAGGAAGAGAAGAAAAAGAAGGAGATGGAGATGCAGAGGGAGAAGAAATGGCGCAGCCGGAGCAAAGTCGGGACCGATGGGCATCTCAAGAAGGGAATCTCCCATCTAATAGAGAATGATGAATCGTCTGAGCGACGCATGAGGGAATTATCTTCTGAAATTGCAGCCATTGATGCAATGTTTCGAGACGAGGGCAGCACTAGGGGTGGGGTTGAGGACGACTCTGAGTTCCTAGTGGAGGAGTGGGACAGCGATAATGATGAAGGGCAATTTGCTGGTGGAAAGAAAGGAGAGCCGAAGATGAGAAGGAAAAGGGCACGTGGCCGGGATTGGAATGCCCTGATCGATGGCCGAGAACGTGGAGGTTTTGACAGCGGCGATGAAGATGACGAGGATGGTGACGAAGTGGATGACGGGGAAAATGGCTGTGATTCAGAGCCCCTCAAGATTTTCTTTTGCAGCCGCACTCACTCCCAGCTGTCACAGTTCATTGGAGAGATAAAAAAGACGACGTTTGGAGATTCTGGCATGCGAATCATCTCCCTTGGCTCCCGCAAGACGCTTTGTGTGAACGATGGTGAGTCGGCAAGCCTGTGCCGCATAAGCGGGCATACTGTGCTTCTCCTCCTCCTCCACCTCCTCCTCCTCCTCCTCCTCCTCCTCCTCTTCCTCCTGCTCCTGCTCCTCCCCCTTGTCCTTCCCCTTGCTTTTCAAATTCCAGTGTACAGGGCGCTCTGCAGTTGATTGGTGAGCCCGTTGAGAGGTGGGACATACTCATACCAGTGAAGGGGGCTGTGATGTATGCATGAATGTGACCTTGCAAATGGACCAGCTGCACATATGTGGTAGGATAGCAGCACTGTGAAAGGTATAGTGCTCTATCCATCTGTTTGTCAGTGCTGAGTGCACATAAATATAAGTAAAAGACCCTGTCACGCACAGTTGCGTGGAAAAATAGCAGACAAAGGAGGAAAGAAGAAAGAAGGAAGTGGGGCACTTTTTTTCCCCTTTCTTTCTCTACTTCAAAGGAACTAGAGTCTTATAGTTCTGGCTCTGACAATATCGGGGAGTGACAGTCTGGTCCCTTTTCCACCGGCAAGTCATAACAACCATGAGATACACAGACACGACACGGAGGATGAGCTAATTGGACAATCAAGTCGAATCAACACGGGAACTTTTTCATTTTCTCTGTTTATTTTTATTTTTATTTTTATTTTCTCTTGTTCTTTTTCTTCTATATCTGTATTTGTTTTATCACTTGCAAGGTTCCCTGCGTTTGTGTGGTCGAGCATCAAGTGCCCACACACCTGTCTGCTATTACAGCATGCCTGTAGCAAGCATGCGGAGTACGGTAGGCATCAGGAAGGAAGAACTGGCAACAGAAGGGTCAAGGATGACAGAGGGTGCAGGTGCCATAAGAATAATATACTAAATATAGATGCTTACAGGTTGCGAACCTGGCTATCTTGCAGTGCAACAACTCAAAGAAAGACAATGCTGTTCAATTGCAACTAAATGAAAGAACTTGGGAAAGGAAATAGACAAAGGAAGAAGAAGAAATAAGAATGGAAGAAGGAGAAGAAGAAGATGAACACCCAGCAAGGACCATCCCCCTTCATCTCGCCACCAACTTCGACATCCAATTACTCCGCCAACTCATCATTAACAATAATAATAAAATAATAAAAATAAAGTTTAACTAACCAAGAAAGAGTGAACAAGAACCAATGTCCGAATCCTCCCCTTACTTCCAGCCACTCAAGAGGTCCACCATAGCCATCTTATACATCCTTCTCCTACTTCATCGAGCGGGTGGCTATGGTGGCCTATCGGAGTGAAGCTCTGATGTTCAGAGAACAACGCAAAGCTACTATGTTCCTCCTACTATGGCCGCCAATGCTCTCACTACCCCCGGAGTCTTCCCTGTAGGTGCCACCGCCCAGTGAGGCCTTCCAGGTGCAGCGCAACCAAGAAGATGAAGATGCAGACCACCATAGCCAGGTAAGCTCCAGCGTCACTTTCCTCCTTGCTCGTCGTCTTCCTCCTCCTCCTCCTCCCCCGGAGTCTCCTCCTTGGTCCTCTCCACCACAGCTGAGGTGGTGGGTCAAGCCCACCTTCTTCCCCCCAAGCCATGAAGCCTGAGAAAACACAGGAGTGTGAACCGGATGCTTCAGGTTGTGGGCATGTTCCCCAAGGGTGATAAATAAATTTAACGATGATAAATCTCACACACATCATTCTATCCCAGCAGTTGCAAAATCTTCCATAGTCACTGGCAGTTTCGCACTGTGCTTTTCTTCTTCTTCTTCTTTCGCTTCACTGTTCCCAGTTGCACACCCATCTCTGCAGTTTAGTAGGCCTCTTTTTACACTGATGCCTCTGATGCTGCAATCTGTCCATTGGTGCAGCAGGATGATGGTGCCAAAACCCGGGCTTGTGAAACTCCTTTCAATGAAGATCCAGTCTCTGGCTGAGAAGGATAGCCTTTGGGAGAAACAACTGCTCGCTGTCTACGGTTCATTATGAGTCTGGATATTGTCTTCTCCTTGCTTGCAGGAGTTTCACATTATATGGAGAATGACCTGCTGCCCTAATTGGAAATCCCAGATAAGGTCAGAGGTAAGCCGGTCGGGTGGAAGTCGTGCGTAGATGAAAGGGTCTGCATAAGGCTGAGATATCAGACATTTGTTGTAGATGCCTTGTATCTGCCTCTCTCACCTGATTTTGTCGGTTCTGTCGCTGTTGGGTTTGGCTTAAAGCGTATTATTATCTGCAAAGAGATTATGGCTACCCTAACCAACGATGTTGGAGTACATATCATATCCCCCCACTAATCAAGCCTTTCTGAAGACTTTGCAGGTTAATTTCTTGCTTGACCTTCCTGCTTCTAACTGCCACCCCTGCAGCTCCGTTGTCTGGCCTTCACAACAAAGGCAGGCAGGAGCTGCATCCACATTTCTGCGGTTTTTTGAAAGTCTGGACTGCTCTGTTTGTGTTTGTGTTTGTGTTACCTATATGTGATACCTACCTAACATGATCCTACCAAAGCTGGTCGCTTCACCCGTTGATGGGACTCCGGGCGAACTTGGCTTCGTCTCTCGAAGGATGAGATGAAGTTCTGAATCAGGCCAACTGCTGCTGGGTCAGTTGGTGTTTGTAAGCTTAACAACCATCTCCTGTGTAGCAAGCTCAGCCAATTGCAAGTCCTCGCCAGTGGTAGGGAGTTTGCTTTTCTGGACTTCAGCCAATCTGTGGACCAAGAGAATGCTTGTTAAACCCTTGTTTCAGCCACCTGTTGGCTTTGCAAGTTCTGGCCAGGAATCGAGAGTTTTCCGAATTTCGGTCATTGTGGATCAGCTAATCTTTCAGTGTTGCTGAATCGTTGGCATGGGGGATTGCATGATCATACTTATATTACTAAACATATTTCTGTCCTCTTTGAGGAAACACTAGACTGAATTTGCTGGCTCGCCCCGATCTGCTGAAATGGTTTACCAGTGCACGGTTGGAACTCTTAGAACACCTTATGGAAGACGTAAGGCCTCGCTCACTCAATTACTCACCAAATGTGCAAAATGAGAACGAATCTTCCGCTAGAACATGGAAAGATAGCTGAAATGCTTTATCAGTGCACGGTTGGAACTCTTAGAACACCTTATGGCAGACGTAAGGCCTCGTTCCATTACTCGCCAAATGTGCAAAATGAGACCGAATCTTCCGCTAGAACATGGAAAGATAGACCGACACATTTTTTGTCTTTGATGTGCATGTGGTGAGTAGTGGAGCGAGGCCCGTAGACAGCAAACGTAGAGGAAGGGTTAACGATCCCGTAGGTAGATACTGAAGGGCTTGCAATTTGATGGCGTTGTATCACTACCATCACACGGTTTCAAAAATGCGCTGTGCAGAATGAGAACGAATCGTCCGCTAGAACGAGGAAAGATAAACCCCGCCACAAAATTTTTGTCTTTTGTGCATGTGGTGACTACCATCTTCACCCAAATAGAACGGCCGGTAATTATTGCCGTATCTGGACTGAAAGCTGCGTCAAATACAGCTATAATGACCTGGCGTTCTATTCGGGTGAAGACGGTAGTGGAGAGAGGCGCGTAGACAGCAAACATAGAGGAAGGTTTAACCATCCCATAGGTAGATACTGAAGGGGTTCGCAGATGGTCAGATCGTGGTATGCAATTGTGCTCCCTGCTCTCGGATCTCCCCGGATCAGAGTGATTGGTGTCTGCATTGCTCCGAAATCAGATTTCCTGACAGCAATGCTTTATGCCTTTGATTAGTTCTAAAGTTCTACTTTGGTCAGATCCAGTTTTTTTCTGAGGCAGGAGCATAGGATATTCCTTTGGGCCCTCACCCTTTCCCTTGTTCCTTTGGGCCCTCAATCGCTCCTGCTTGGGGCCACCTGTTGGGCCTCAATTGCCCCTGTTTAGGTCTACCCCTTGGGCCCTCAATCTGCTCTCTTCAGCTGCTTAGGATATTCCTTTGGGCCCTTACCCTTTCCTTTGGTCCATTTTTCGGCCCTCAATCACCCCTGTTTAGCCTACCTGTTGGGCGTCAATTACCCCTGTTTGGGTCGACCCCTTGAGCCCTCAATCTGCTCTCTTTAGGTCTGCCCGCCGGGTCCTTGATCACCCCTGTTCAGGTCTACGTGTCGGGCCCTCACTCATGCCCGTTGAGCTCTCGAGCAACTCAACAGACTGGCAGTGCTTCATACATCTGGCGCATGGCAGTCTAATTAAGTAACAACCGTGCATGATGCATCAAGATGAGTGAGTGGTCATGACTGGCATTGCCTTTCAAGATGGAGATACGGTGTGTGTTGACTCTTTCGCTTCAAAAAAGATAATTGCTGCCTGATCGCTTGAACCTCGGGAGATTCTTATGTTCAACGGACAGAATTCTGCTGTCCTCTTATCACATTTCAAAGTTTGATCTTCCATGCCCTGGTTTCTAACTCCCACAGCAATTTGCTTTGCCAACTTTCCTCAGATCTAATCTCAACTGGTTTTCATAGCTCAAAGTAGCCAGGTCTCCATTGTATACCCTTGCCGACCAGCAGTCTCTCTACTGTACATATTGTAGATCACTCCTTGCGCGTTTTGGACGATATGCCAGTAGTGTTGAGTGACCAAAGTCCACCCCCATAGCTGCGTGGACTCCATGGAGCCAGTGAGCGATATCTACCAACAATCCGCATCAGAGCATGCCTGGCGAATCAAGGACTGCCTATGGGAAGCTTCTCCTTTAGGGTTTCACATGCGTACAATCACCGATTTTGGCAATAGGTGTGCTCCACTTTGCATGGACTGGAGAGCGGGAAAAGGGACTTCGGCATCACCTTGCCGGGTTTCCTGGCACCTCGTTATCGATCTAATGATTCTAATCGGACACAGTCACTGCTTCTTGACATCGACGCAGGGAGGGGCTGTCTACTATTTGAACTCAGGGTTGGGGGGTGGGGGGGTTGACCTTGGGCGATACGAGTTGATGGGTACATACTAATTGGAAATGGTGCTCTTTTCAGGTTAGTGACAGAGTTTCTGAAAAGAAAAGATAAATCCTAGTCTCAGAGTTAATAGACTTTCAAATTTCAATGCGTTATGCCACGGTGAAGTTGTTTTTTCGTGCGCAGTAGAGGTCGGTGGATGCATATGATTGATTATGTGCTCATCACATGTTGCTGTCTAAGGTCACCGCAGCCCGCAGCTGATCAAAATTGCCTGCCCTTGGACAGCCGTCTCCCAGACTTTGTTGTAAGAGGTCACAGTGTACCACCTAGAGTTGGTGCCCCCTAGCGTTAGTGCCGTCTCTTGTGTTGACACATTTCCACTGAGCCATGCTGACTTGATGTGCCAATTGCAGGAGGGCCCTTGCGGATGTGGGCTGTTTCAGTGGGTGGGGTGCAACCATGGCAGGCACAGAAGATGAAATATTTTTTAGTTGGCTTGTGTTGACCTGGAGTTGATTCTGCTGACAAATGGACAGCATATGTTGCAGTAAAAAACTCCTTGCCAACAAACTGACAACTGTTCTGTCCTTCTGAATTGGATTTACAGCGGTCCTCAAGCTCGGAAGCGCGGCGGCAATCAATGAAAGATGCCTGGAGTTGCAGAAGAGCAGCAAGAACAAGAAAGTGGTAAGATACTTTCACTGCCCTTCGTCGGGAGCTTCGGTTCCCGAATCAACTCCCGGCCCTTGAGACATGATATATGGCTAAGATGTTGCACGACAGCAGAGGGGTCGACTCAGGCTCGAAAGTCTAACAGGGTGGGGCCCTACACCGTGTTGTGAACCATATTCCACTGGGTATGCCTGGATCATCTCGTTGGAAAAGACCTGATAAGGGAAAAGAGACAGTGAATATGAGTCGTGGAACGGGGTTGCAAAAGAAGGGAAAAGAGTGGGAGAGAGGAAGGAGAGGGCAGGATAATGACGGGCTAGGGACGGACTATGAGGAAGTGCGGGAGAGCGAAGCAAGCAAGGCAGGAAATGGAGAGAAGGATAGGAGAGGGGGAGAGGAGAGAGAGACGACGGGAGAATGAAGGAGAGCTAGAGAAGTATAATTCAACAAGAAGGGGACATGCATGCACACAAACAAGGTCGATAAGATATAGATGGGCGGACGTAGATAAGATACAGACGGGACAACGAAGGAGAGGTAGAGAAGTATGGTTGACCAAGAAGGGGACATGCATGCGCACAAGAACGGAAAGAAGGGGAAAAAAAAGAATAAAAAACTTAAGAAAAAGGGAAAAAAACTTAAAAAAAGTGAAAAAAAAAGACGTGAAGAAGGGAGGAAGGAAGGAAGGGGAGTCGAGGGAGGAAGGGAGAAAGGGAAGGATGGAGTGCGATGGACTAGGTCACTAGGTAACAGTTTTAGGATCATGCTCACAGTGTGAAGAAGCATCAGGTCTCTGCTTTTGTGTACAGAAGGACACCCGAGTGTTGCATTTTGGCAGGGCAAATTACTGCAGCACTCGAGTTTGTCTTTACCGTCCTGATCGAGGACAACCCTTGTCCATTTTGGCAAAGGGCATGCACGTGTTCGCCTCACCATTAAGACCATCCTTGTGCGTTCTGATGAGTGGAACAAGAGGTGTTGTCACAAAGCTCAGGTGTATTCCAGCTATTTTCCCCATGAGACAGGCAAGAGTTGCGTAACACTTGTCCTAATGGGAATGGTCAGGGCGAGTGGGAGTTCAGTATAACAAAGCGAGAGAATCTTTTTGCCCCCCAAAATATTAGCATTTCCTGTAGTAATGTGTTTGAATGACTTCACTGTTGAGGTAGACATCAGCCACCGGACCATCAATACCGTTCATGATCCTTCTGATGATGAGGATGCCGGATGTATCGTCATACGGCTCGTACAACTGTGTGTACGTAAATTTTGTCTTCTGTATGTAGCATATTCCATGGAATTAGGCCTACTGGCAGTGACCCATTTTTTTTGTCCTCAAGACTGATCATGTATGTTGTACTTGATGATCACACGATACCGAAACTCAGCATCCTGCTAAAGGACCGCAAAACTTATGCTGTGTTGCTCCCACGACATACATACAAAAGACAAAATAAATGCACACAAAGTTACACACATTAGAGCTATTTTCTTGATCGATAAAAGCAGCAGGAAAAGATGGGACCTCACAGTTAACGAGTTGCCCTCTTGTCTGTGTCCCCTGCTGGTTGGCCTGTGCTTTCGAGGTCTGAATAGGACTCCTCTGGTGGCATGAGAGGGCCACAAAAAGGCAAAGTGAAAAGCAGTGGAAGCTGCCCATTTCTTAAGAAACCAAGTCTTCAGCGTCAGTTTGCTAAACTTGTGGAAGACTCACCTCCTTTGGATATTGAAGATCTGGTTCGCTCTGGTCGCCGGATCGGAACCTGCCCATACTATGGAGCTCGACATCTGCTTCCTCGTGCCGGTGGGTGAATTTGATGCGCGGACCTCATGATGCTGTGACTAATTACTGACAAGTCCCTGAAATTTGTGCGCTGGTCAAAAAGAACATTGTATGATTGCTCTAGCATTCAGTCAAGTCAGCGTCTTGTTTTGCTGAAGTGGGCAGATTTTCCTGGTTGAGACGAAGGTTTCGCTGAACTGTCTCGGAACCTGCACAGAAGCTTTCGCAACTTCCTACTGGAGGAGTACTGCTGGAGGGGCGTAACCCGAGCATGAACCTTGGCCTCCACACCCGCCTCAAAGCAGTCCTCCTCCTCCCTTACCTCCCTCCTGTCGACTTCGGTCTCGTCCAATCTTGCCTCCCCTCCTTTTCGCTCCAATGCTGCAATTTCGGTCCTTGTCACTGCCAAGGAAACATACAATGAAAAAGGAGATGGTCTCGCTTTGGGCTGAAACTCGGGAGGGTGAGTGCCACTGCTGAGCCTTTTCCTGACTGGCCAACTTGGTCGGAACCTGTCACACCCTCTCTGTGGCATGCTGAGGGGCCCCCACAGCGGACTTAGGCGCCCAGGCATTTCCCAAAAGCAGCCATCGGCTGCCAAGACCTTTGCGAAGACCTCCAGCCGATTTTGAGGGCCTTGGAGTGTGGGTTCCCAGACAGGCGTGTGAGCATTTTATCTGTTCCGAGTCCAGGTGTGTGGATTTTGTCTGTTCTTAGTCGTGTTTTATTTTCGAGTTCTGCATATTTTGTTGGAGTCGGTATACTTTTCTTTTATATTTTGTTGGAGTTAGTTCATTTCCCCCCCGGTCTGGATTGAGTTTCCACAACGTCATCCTGTCCAAACCTCTGGCGTGTGCGGTTTCACGTTTTGGCCCAACTCATTTTTGAGGCTGCGCCAGACCGTTTTTCTTTCCAGGCACTGTTGCTTAGATAGCATGAGAGGGCGTGGTCCAGAGTGGGGATCCAGGCCACACGATTCATGCCTGGGGCTGAGTTTGGCCACAGGGCCTCTCATCTGGACCCCGAGATCTTAGTTAAGATCGGATGGGCCAGATGGGAGACGAGCCTAGTAGTAGTGAGGTATTCGCTGCTCAGTTCATTTGGATGCCACCAGGCTGCGCAAGATGGAGCAGGCCAGCGCTAGTGGAGGTAGGGGAGCCCAATGTTAGACGAGTAGAGTAGTGCTGTGGGGATGGGGAGGAGAAAGGAGGGGACGGTGGAGGAGTCCACTCACCTGGCGCCATATCCTGGCGGTCTGCCACTGGCCATCATCGACCTTCTTCTTTGAGACACCTGCAGTGCATCAGCGACTCAAGCGCTGCCTATCACAGAACAGTATCAGCTCAAAGAGAGAGAGAGAGAGAAAGAGAGAGAGAGGGAGAGAGAGAGAGAGAGAGAGAGAGAGAGAGAGAGAGAGAGAGAGAGAGAGAGAGAGAGAGAGAAAGGCTCACGGTTCCTTGGCCTTCTCTTTCTCCTCGACCTACTTGTCTTGCCTCTGTCTCTCTTCGTCGTCCTCTTCTACTTCTCCATCTTCTTCTTCTTCTCCTCCTCCTGCTCCTCTTCATCTTCTCCTTCTCCCGTCTGCGGGCCACGTGGCATGTTTTGAATGTAGGAAAAAAGCAAAATGAAAGAAAAAAGAAAAGCACAACATCGGACATCCTGATTTCCTCCCCCTCCTCCTGTTGCGATGTGGGAACTTTGCCACCCTTGTGCGATTGTCCGGACCTCGCCACCCTCCTGATGCGTGTGTGTGTGTGTGTGTGTGTGTGTGTGTGTGTGGCCGTGTTCACTATACACAACTCCACACACACACACACACACACGAAAAAAAAAAAACAAACACTGTGCTGACGTGTTTCATCGGACTTTCACCGACTCATCAAGTGAAGTCCTCCCAGGATGAATTCGATCAATGGACAAGAATTCACCATGTCGCACAAGCGGTTATCGGGTAGCTGAAAATTCATGAATGAAAATTTTGAAGTGAGAGGGGCAGTCTGAAAATCCTGAATGGTCCTGAAGTGGTGAAAGGTCCGAAGACCCTGAAAACCACCTGTTTAGGCAGGTTGCATCCTGAAGTGGTGA